AGTCAACGAAGGGTTTTTAGTGTTTCACATATGCTGCATTTGTGTCAGTTGATGGGATTTTCTTGCTGAGGGGACAAAGGGAAGCTACTATGAGAAGAAGACATGAAGACAGAAGGTAAGATATTAAAAAAAAAAAAAAAAAAAAAAAAATCGCTGAATTTTAATAGAACCAAAGGTCATTTTGACCACTGCAGCAAACATTGGATAAACCCGGTGTCATTCACAGGGTTAGCTACATGACTGAATGGGTTCAGTTCCTCAGTGAGGACCTTTTTTGTGCAAGAGCTACATTCTTAATAGTTAGGAACCATAGTTGCTCACTGACCTCGACCTGCTGCGAGCTTCGCTGATATCTCGACTCCTCTCACGCTCTTTCGTCCTCTCCCGTTCTCGCTCCCTCTCGCGTTCCCGTTCCTTGTCCCTTTCTCGTTCCCTCTCCCTCTCCTTCTCTTTCTCTCGGTCGCGCCGCTCCCTCTCGCGCTCTCGCTCCTTATCCCTTTCCTTCCTCTCCCTCTCGAGCTCCAGTCGTTCCTTGTCTTTCTTTCCTTTTTCCTCTTCCAGTTTCTGCAGGAGACAAAAAAGTTAAAGAAAAAGTCTGAAAAAGTTCTTCAAACATTTGTTTTATTACCCTGCCCATGGGGCCTTACTAAAATATAAATACCTCTTGGCAGTTTCTCACAAACATTATAGGAATTGTATGTGAAGTGAAATAAATACATTTATGGCTTTTTTAGTAATTTTTTCTAACAGATAAAAAGGTTTAGGTTTTGCTTTTGGTTAATTTCTCTGACTCTGACATCCCTAAATAAAAACTTGGGATACTTCCTTCTATTTATCCTCTGATTTTAAAAAGCACTATACAAGTATACCAATTGTTTTTGATTGTTGATTGTAAAACTACAGGCAAAGAACATATAAGCAACACATGTACTTGAACAAAAATCGTTACCTCGTGACCGCCTGTCAATTCACAGGCTAAAATGGTTGCTGTCTAAATAAAACATACAATAAGAGTGCCACAAATAAATGTGCTGGACTACTATGAAAGAATTATAACTAAATACCTTTTACAGATCCTGTATCAATCAAAAAGCTGCTGCATTTAACTCAAAGTTCATCAAGATTCTTTGTAAAGCCAAATCCCACATTTTTAAGCTCACATTCCAACCTCGTAATAATAGAAGGTACGACAAAGAAAAAAAAAAATTACACATCTTGGCAAGATAAACCAACCTAAGTATAATTTAAAAAAAAATGTTCACTACATGAAACACTGAAATTATTGTATCCATTGAAATCAAATATTTCTTAACCGATTTCAGAAACACATTACTAATTAGAGTCAACCTACTGTCCTACTGTGTAGAGTATGTTAATCTCAGCATAGTTGTGCCCACGGTCACCATATGCTTGTTTTCTGTTCTGTTGTGACTTTAAGCAATAGATACCATCTCACCAGCTAGTATTATAAACTGAATTTTACTGCATTATATTTTAACTAGGGTCAAATTTAAATGTATCTGGATCTCTAAGACTGGACTGATTTAATAATGTAGCTCTGAATCGGATCAGTTTATCTTGTAAATAACCTAAAGATTCATGCTTCAAAGGTTTGTTTGAGAATCTTCGTGAACAAACAGCATCATGAAGACAAAGGAAAGTCAGGCATGCTGATATGGAGGCCTTTAAAACAGAGTTAGGTTGTAGAAACAGCATTCTGCTTTTTTAAATAAGAGAAGCTGTGAAGATGTCAAAGGCAAATCTGTTGAAGCTAAAAAAAAAAAATCTTTCTCCTATGAGGATCATCCTTTTCAGCAGGAATAGGGAAGATGGTCAGAGCTGATGGCCTTGCAGCAGGACAATAAAAATACAGCAACATTACAAAATTTCCTGATAGAACGATCCATAACCTCGACCTTAATCCAAAGAAACTGGAGCAACACTTAAATATTTGAAAATAAGTTGGGAACGCACCCTAAATGATTTTGGTCCGACTACAGTTGCATAACTTAAACAAAAAAAGACATGTACCGATAGTCTTCCACTGTCCTGTTATGCACTGCTTTGCGTTTGTCTGTTACATAAAATCCCAATAAAACCCAGAATGAGATGGTGTGAATACTTTCACCATAGGCAGTGTACGTAACAGTGCAGTTAGCAGAGACTATCTGCGATTATACTCTGATGTAACAAGAGAATATTTCCACAACAACTAAGCTGTGGGCAAAAAAAGCACATTGGTAAACTATCCGCACATTCATCACTGCGATCAATACGCAGTCACAAACTGCTGGCTTAAGAAAACAAAATCTAATAAACAAGATGCGATAACTCCTCACACAGATGCCTATATACATTGGTGTTTAGGACACTGCTTTGTGTCTCTAAACTAAGAGATTTTATTATAACTGGGTTCTTTTCCATAAAGCTTTTAGAATCAAAATCTGCAAAGTCAGCTTTAAACCAATAATCACATACTTAAAATCACTGCTACATAATGGCTTGGTCTGACGTCACCTCAGTGTGGCATTAAAATAAATCACAGCTTTACGTGGCACATGGCCCTGTTAGATAAATTACATAATCAGTTTAAATTTATTTTTTGTGAGGCAACAGAAGCATTTCTAGGAGATGTCTGGCAACAGTTTATGAAAACAAATATATTATAAGAGTTGTTTCTTTTTTTAAACTCATATATTCAATAAATATTTAAATTGATAAATATTTTTAAATTTAAACTTCCAACTGAGTGGGGATTTAGATTTATTTGTTTGCAAATAGCAGACATTTTTTTCTGAAGCAACATTTGTGCAGCTTACAGGAGATGAACTATGGATTCAGCATCTCTCTGCCACTACACCCTATTAGCTACGTATGGGAGGAAAACAGGTCAGTCGTAACAGGTTAAAATAGATTTGAAACAGTTTATTTAAAAAAAAAAAGTTCTATAATAAAAACTGCTTTAAATTGATTGTTGAAAGGTTAGAGGTTCGCCACAACAAAAGCGGTGAAGCTTTCTTACCTGAAGGTTGTATTCCTTCGTCTCTCAGTTTTCTTGGACCCATTTATAAAGAGTTGGCAGACCCAGAGTTCAAACGCTTCAGCTGATTTTATTTAAGCTCATGATTGCCTTCTAATCAAATCCAGGCTTTAACTACTGTTTCAAGTGTGGATCTGACAGCTAATAAAAAGCAAATAAGCTAAATTACTATTATTATTAGTTTATATGCTATCAATACATTACTAGGCAATATTTTTGCTACAGCTAAGCCTCATTTATGATGTCACAAAATACAAGCAAAGCTCAATTTCATCTTGACAATTTATCACATAATTAAATGTTACATGGCGCTGCAGGAATTAATTTTTATGTTGTAATTTGATGCAAATGATCCAGGGGAGAAGTTGCCTGCCTGCATGAGGACAGACTGGATATCCCCATGTGAACTACATTAAGGTCAACTCTAAATATCAGATCTAATGTGTAAAATCAGTCATTTAAAAATCAATCAGGATGTCTGAAACGGATTTTATCCATTATATGGACCATCAGGGTGGATGTGTTTGTTTTTCTAAAGTTACCATGACCTTATAGTGCATTCGGAACCAACATTTCTAGAAACGCACCAATCCGAAGTTTGAAATTATGAAAGGCTCTGATTAGAACTTCTCTGTAAGAACTCTTACAAAAAAAATGACAATGATTTTCACTGAAACATCAAAGGATCCAAGAACCAAATCTCAACATCCAGCTTATGGGATGGCACAAAATAATTTAGGCAAGAGAATATGCTGGTGAAGACCAGTCATCCAGGTCATATTCACTCCAAAAAAGTTTAAAAAACAATCCACTGGGCTTTGTTTCCAAGTTTAAAGACATTTCGCTTGCTATCCAGGAAGCTTTTTCAGTTCAGAATGTCAGAAATAAATGGTAAATGGCCTGTACTTACCAAAGCGCTTTACACTACATTCAGTCATTCACCCATTCACGCACACACTGATGGTGGCAAGCTACATTGTAGCCACAGCTGCCCTGGGGCTCACTGACAGAAGCGAGGCTGCCGTACACTGGCGCCACCGGGCCCTCTGACCACCATCAGTAGACAATGCAGGTGAAGTGTCTTGCCCAACGACACTGAAAGTCGGATTTGATTTATTTTAACCTAGGCTTGAACCGTCAATTCTTCGATTTCAGGGCAAACTCCTACATCCGACGCCACTGTCCCCCGAAATAGCGTTGAGTTCTAGGCTTTATATAGTGGACCAATGACAAAGCCTTGTTTTGGCTTACAAAACATGCAAATTGAACTGGATGAATGGGTCAGCCCCTTTTGAATGGGGGTCGTTTGGCTTCTTTGTTAGCCTGCAATACCCTTTACCTGTCAATGTCTCTAAAGGGGGGGTCGTTAAAGGGCATTGTTGGTCTGGCTAAACAGGCGAGGTGTTCTGTTCCCCTGTAAGGGGGTGGAGGGGTTGCGATGATAGCGGGAAAGAATCAACTCAAGTGCTGCATTGTAGGTTTATATAAAGCTGAAATCTGAGTCAACCCCCCTCGGTTTAAGGTTGTTTTTTCTCTCAACATAGATGGCTTACTTCACGTCCCTCTTAAACCACCGATCTTCTCTGTCCAAAATGTGAACATTCTGCTCCGGCACTACCATCCCTGTTTACTTCCAGAAAAAAAGAGCACGCTGGCCTGTGACATCATTGCGTCCTCTACTGCGCATCAGGGACACTTGCGTTGTATGACTGCAGTTCACATAGGAGATCACATACAAGTAGCATATATTTGGAAATATGAACAGCAACACAAAAAAAATTGGATTTGACAAAAAAATCGGAATAGAGCATCAAGGCCTGCAGTGTTAACGTAGCCTTAGTGATTGTGGTGGACAGGTGTCTTTATGCGGCTAACGACCTCAAACAGGTACATCTAATTTAGGACAATAAATGGAGTGCAGGTGGACATTTTGAAGGCAGACCAACAGGTCTTTAAGGGGCAGAATTCCAGCTGATAGACAGGTGTTCAAATACGTATTTGCAGCTGTATCATACAAATAAATAGTTAAAGAATCATACATTGTGACTTCTGGATTTTTTATTTTTATTTAGATTATGTCTCTCACAGTGGATGCACCTACAATGATAATTTGAGACCCCTCCTAGTTTCTAAATATGAGAACTTGCAAAATATAATTACTTTCCTCACTGCATTTTTTTACATAATATATCTAACATGGCATTCATGCACTGTGTGATGTGTCTAGCTTAAGTTAAAGTCTTCATGCTCAAATTAACATAATGAAGTATTATAACTCTGGACCACTTTAAAATCACTGCAACCATACAGGATTAATTTCCTCCTATTTCAAGGTAACAACAGCAAGTTTATACATTACCTTGTGTGTGTCTCTGAATTTGCTGATCTCTCTGGATATAAGGTCTCTCTTGTCATCCTCCAACTCCATGGCATTGATATCCTTATAGAACGTAATCATGGTAAATTTACTTCAAAGTTTAATAGAATATCAAATAATATTTCAGCCTATAATAGGCCACAGCCAAATACTACCTCCTCTTTCTTCTCTTTGCGTTTTTTGTTGCGAGGCTGGCCCTCGGAGTCTTGTGAGGGAGCGTTAAGCTCACTGGAGTACTCTCGGATAAGGACCTCTATCGCCCCCTTCACAACCTGATCTCGATGCAGCGTTTCTTCATCGAGAACCTCCGCCTCTTCTTCTTCTACATTTTTAGACACGTCTGTGGTTCCCTACGTGGCAAATCCAAGTGATGATTTTAAAACACTTATTGAAACATTTTAGTTAAATAAAAGCTTGTTTCACATCTTTTAATCAAAAGGTGAACACAGTACCCCATTGGCACTCCTCCTCTTGGCCTTCCACTCGTCCAGCTGAGCCTTGGTCTTAGCGTCTACCTTGACCAGCAGCTTCTTGTCACCTAGAAGCAGCTCATGGAGAAGTCGGAGAGCTCGAAGCGTGGACTCAGGCTCCTTATACTCACAGAATCCAAAAGCTTCCAATTATCAAAGACAGATGGAATTAATTTTATCACAAAATATATACAAAAAATAAACACAATGGATCAGATAAAAGTGCAACAATTGTCAAATTTAGGAAAAAAAAAAAATTAAAATCAGCAAACAGAATATAACTAGAACCATAAGATAAAAATCTACATAGAAGGGTTTTTTTTTTTTTTTTACCTTGAAGTTTCCCAGAGGCACCTTGGACCCTCTTCCAGCTCAGGACAATACCACATTTCTATTTTGAAAAAAACAAACAAAAACACTTTTAATTCTTGGTTGAAGATAAAAAACTGATTTAACAACAACTTTTTGATCATATCAAGACATCAATGATCATATTAAGACTTCATGCAGAGATCAATGTTATGCGATTCTGGTATGTTGATGATAATATATCAAACTCAATAAATCTTAAAAACATGAATTTGGTGCAAAAGGAAATAAATTTTAAGGATTCCTCTAATCCCAAAGGATTAAATATAAATACCTTTTAAAGAGTGATTTTTTTTTTTTTAAATCTATGACAGTCTGGGTGTTTTTTAGAACAAGATTGGACATATAAAAGATTAAATATCAAATTTACTTTATATCGCCCTAACATGTACCTGGAAGTTTTTGACCCAAATCAAAGCCTAAAGGACCATGTATCCCCTGTATAACCACCTCTATGCAGCAGAAAATGTTTTTTTTTTGTTTTTTTTTTTAAGTTTTAAGTTTAAAAATGGCTTTTAATGTTAGTGATTATGTCTTATAGGTAATAAAAACACAACATTAATTTCATAATATGAATATTGTGAGAGAATTATTAAACTCATGGTTTTACGGTCTAATAAACAGATGCATTTCTAAGTCATGTGTGTCTAATTAGAGGCATTTGTTCTTTAAAAAGCTACAACGTGGCTAAAACTTCGTAATAAAAATGGGAGTTAAGTTATAACACAAGTTATAGAATCTCTTAAAGAACTGATAATACTAAAGTGGCCCGATATACAACAGGTAAAATAAGTTTTGAACACGGCACAATTTTTTTCAATAAATATGTTTTTAAAGGTCATATTGACATGACATTTTCACCAGATGTCGGTAACAATCCATGCAATCCACACATACAAATAAATCAAACCACAGATGTCCAACAATAAAGTTATGTGTAATAATCTGGAATGGCATAAGGAACAAGTATTAAACACGTAAAGAAAGAGAGGTATATAAAGGCATGGAAAGCCAAGACACCAACCGAAATCTCTTAGTAATTAGAAAGCAATCCTGCCCCTTGTCAGTGAAAATTAATATCAGCTGGTTAATTCCCAAATGATGGCCTATAAAAAGGTCTCTCTGGTATGAAACATGTCATGCAGCAGGACCATCAGAAACTGGCAGAGTGACAATAAACTAAAGATAAATTAGAAATGATGAGGGCAAATATGACTAAATATTTATTATGTTGGGTTCAGTTAAACAGTTTTTCTTTCTTTCTTTTTTCTGGGGGTAGTCATTTCCTGTTTCCTTGCCTAACTCCTTATCAGTTGGTGGCGATAATGCACTTTTAACTAGTTTGCCAACCACCATAAAACCTCACAAGAAGAAGAAACATCTCATGATGGGTAAAAGTAAAGAGCTTTCTCAAGACCTTTGCAACCTTAATGAAGGCATTGGTTACCGAATGATTTCTAAATTTCTGCAGTGTTCCAGTGAGCAATGTTGTGGCCATAATCCTGAAGTCAAAAGAACATCTTTTCACGATAAAGACACCATGACCAGGTGCTCCT